ATTACGTCCAAGGGGGAGCCTATGAATTACTTGGATCCCGAGGGGAGATTCGATTTTACTGATGATTTACTGATGGACTCTGAGAAGGGTTTTTTGGAAAATGAGTTGATTCGGGTGAATGTAAGTTTCATGGGCAAATGCCACGTGGTAGTGGAGGAAAATTTGGGATCTTTTGGGCACGGGAAGGTGCCAAGCTCTGGGATTGCGAGTGGAGAGGAGTATCAGAATGGGTGTGGCTCACCTCCTGACCGGTTGATGTCGGAGATTTATCAGTATCTGGCTAATAGAACGAGCCCCGGTGGGAATGGAGTGTCGAGGAGGCAGAGGAGGAGGGAGAAGGAGAAGCAGGAGAAGTTGAGGAAATGGGAGCCAGAACATTTTGTGAAAATAGTAAATTGCTCGCCTACGCTTTCGCGGCCATTGCAGGGCCTCTGGAAGGTTAGAAGTTAACCATGTTTTGGTTAGACAGATTTTTTACTTAGTAGATAAGCGTTTTGGATTTGTATTTAAACAAGGCTCATAACTTGTTTTCTCTTATGTCCTAACTCGGATTGGATAATGACTATTTAGTGCTTGTTAGGTAGTGATTATGAGAATTGATTTTTTGACCGTTAAGTGGTCCACCTGTGATTGAAGAAGTAAAAATTACTGCTGAAATAGTGAAATAACTGTAAAAAAATGATTTGTTGGAGTGAAAAATTGCTACTAAACGGGGGCTTAGTAATATGAAGGATAAGCAATGATGGACCCTGACATGGTCGGGGCGGCTTGTGATGTTTGCGTTGCGTTTGGTTTGGTTTGGTTTGGTTTACTTCTATATTTATGTTAATGCTTTCTATTTTAAGATTGATAATTGAATCCTGAAAATTTGGCACTGATGAAAAAGCCAATGCAGATTAAAGGATTTTAGGATTATATTGTGATTTCTTCAGGGTCATTAGCAAGTCCTGTCTGAGTGCTAGTTGATTGCAAATATTGATTACTCTTTGTCGTGATCAAAGATTTTGTATTTTTATCTTTTTGATAGTATTAAGTTGTTGGAGTGCATTTGTAGAATTGTTGCTGAGTATATGGAGGAAGGTTGAAGAAAGATTATGTACCAGTGGTCTAACTTGAGTATTGTTGGTGGCCTAGAGGGAGAGTAGCCTTTGGAGCTAGGTGCCACCCCCAACCCAACAATTAAGCATGAAGGAAGCTTCAACTGCTACGCCTTTTTTTTTTTCACTGAATAATTTGCTGCTGCATACTTATTCCATTATTATCTATATAAGAGGCATCCCAATGGTTCTTTTACTGTAATTTCGTCAGCGTAAGAGGCAAAATCAACTTTGGTTCTTATTTGAAATTGGAAACAGAAGTTTTTCCATCTCAATTACTTACACTCTTGATGCATTTGTGTTGTATTCCTATGCTGGTGTTTTTTGAACGGAACTGGTATTCTTGAACCCATTTCCAATCTCATACTTGTGGTTGATTCCTGAAAACAACCATCATAAACCGTTGCCGTAACCAATTGGATCCTGTCTGTCTTCTTTTCTACCCCGCAATAGTAGCAATAGCTACACAATATGTCTGAAACTGAAGTACCTTAAAACAATTTCAAAATGTGAAGGCTTCTTGTGATCTTTGTTAGTCATCCAATAGCCGTTTTAACATCTTCACAAGCATCAGCTACCTCCACTTTACATTAACCCTATCCATATGCCCACCTCCCCTCCAAAATCAGACACCTCCTGTTACCTCTGCCAACCCCAATCCTTATTGCATCCAATGTTATTAGAAGCACATGCCTAAGTCTCTTCTTGGTATGAGTGTTTATTGGGAATGTTTAAATTTATGATCTAGGCTTACTCTTTGAATCTTTCAGGTTCCCACCAAGGGATGCCTTAGGAGTGTGCTCCTAAGTTGTCCATTTTATCCTTCTTTTTATTGATCTCTACCTTTTGAGCTGATTTTTTCATATCAGAATGTTATAGGGGGGCTGTTTTAACAACCTCAGAAACTAAAATAAGAATTTAAATTTTGGAGAGGAAAAGTGAAGAGCCCGAGCCCTAGCTCTTTACTACTAGAGCTGAAGTGCAAAGTCCCTCCCCAGTCAGTTACCTGGTGGATTTTTGGTGTTAAGAGAAGTAGCAACACGTAACTGCAGTCTTTTCTTCCTTTTATTATTTTGTTATTGTCGTTATTGTCTTTCTATGAGTTTCTGTCCGCTGTGTTTTTCTTTTCTGTTTGAAGCCAAAGCAAACGAAATTCTTACAAAAAAATGGTTATCTATTTCAATTTTTTTTTTTTTTTTTTGGGATTATTGGTCTTGTTTTTTGTGATTTCTTCTTTACCACTTTTTTCATCTTTTCCTATATTTGCAAAAATTGTTGAAAGGTTTTGTTACGAATCTTGTAGATGGTTTATTATTAGTAATAACTTATATTTTATATATTTTTTAATTGTATTATTGGTCTACATGGGTGCCTATTGTTTGATGGAGGTAAAACATCTCAATAGCCAATTTGGCCCTTTCCAAATACTTCTCCTCACACCTCACCAGTCAGACAAATCAAACACAAAATCACGAGTATGGTGGTCTCCATAGGCCATCAATGATGAAACAGGGGATTTGGTTCAAATTGGGACTTGTCCATGGTATTTAATTAGGCGTTCATAGATTGAGAAATTTTACAATTCATGAAAAACATTATTTAGCCCTTGTTTGAGCCCCATTTTTCATCAAAATACATTCTTTAACAGTAATTTGACATCATTTCAATTACACATTTTTCAATAAAATAATGTTACACGTAAATAAAAACTTTTCCTTATTTTTTAACCACATTCTCCACCATAACACTATTTTAAAATGCATCTTTTGAAAAAAAAAAATGGGGCTCAAACAACCCCTTAGTTTTAAAGAGTTATAACGATCAAGCTTAATCTGGAATTTTTATACCTGCATGTGGCTATAATTCATCTGTACTTACATATAGTGAAGTCTTGATTAAAAGTTAATACCTGAGTCATACAAAAAGGTCATTTTTTGTCATTTCACTGTTCCTGTTTCATTGCAACCCTCTATTCTTGTTTTGTATCTTACGAACAAAATAAATCAACACCAGTTAGCCAATTCCTTTCTTTCCCAAATACTCTGTCCATACCCACAATGCATTCCTACATTCCCACTTACACTCTCGATAGGTTTAGTTTGAAGTCTTAGTCCTGGACATGAAACTTCTCACTAATTTTAGTCTGGTTTTCTTAATCTAAAGCATAATTCGCGCTTTTTCATATTTAACAGGATTCCTCATTCTGATTTTCTTCTTTTGAGCTATGGTTCATCATATTCAGTTATATTTTTCTTTAATAATCTTCTCGAAGGCTATTGATGTAAAGAGTCCTCTTGTACCACATTGTAGAATTTGTACCAATTTGAGTCATCTGGCTTGGCTGTGTAAATACCAATGGTAGACTTTAGAAACTGTTTTGATTTTTTTCTAGTGCATTGCAGCCTATTTGATGCTTTTGTCTGCTTGTCGCTGCAGGGAATTTGTGATGACATGAGCTTGGATTTCTATCTAGTTTCCTATGATGATATTGGGGGTATTGCTTGCCGAAAAGTTGGAGAATCGTCTAGACCTCTTTCCTTGCATGCCCCAGTATTTTGGTCATCTAGTACTACATTTATCGAGCCTCCTCGTTCTCCTGAAGAATATCATATATACAGCAATCGCATGCATCTCCGGCCTCCTGCAGAATCATATGACAGTGGAGATAATGGAGCTGTCTCCCACATGCTTTTAATCAATTCGAGCTATGATTTGGTCATTCCAGACATAGCAGGGCCCACTACAAATCCTCGGCAGTGTGAGGGAAGAATCTGGCAGTATGAAAATGGAACATTCGGTTTCGGGTTTCTTCGAGACAATTACATTATAGACTTGAAGCATATTGCTAAAAATGGTCACCTTCTAGATGCAATAGAACCTTGTAATGGTTGATTGCACTTGCATAAATTAGGATACTTCTTCACTTGGATCATCACTGTACATATTTATTCTAAACTTAGATGAACTCCCTTGCACTCTTGTAATATGTTTGTCAGGGTAATAAACATATATATTCTCTATGATTAAATCCTTCGTATCTTTACTTCGGATTGTTCTTTGCTCGTGTACTGTTCTTTTTCTTTCCTGAATGGCTGTTTGGGAGTAAAGATTAGAGAATGAAAATCACTTGAAAACCAGTGCTCTTTAGAACAAAGTGTCGAGTGGAAAGGTGAAAGAGTTGTGATCTCGGTTCTTCTATTGCTGGAATCTCTGGAACCACAAGAATCTTCAATTAGAATTCTTAGGTAATTGTGGCTGCAGCAATACTGCTAGTTCCAACTCACAGTTCTAGAACCCAGGATGACCATTTCTAAAATAGGTCATTGTGGCTGCAGCAATACAAGAGAAGGAATGACCCCAGTAAGCCACTCCTTGTGCAATTTAGTTGGATGGACTGAAGACACATCCTCCATGACTGCATTTGAAATAGCTCGTGGTATGCAGTGACATTCACAGACACATTTTATCATAATATTACCAATTGTGAGACACCACCAATATATTGGTATGCAACGATGTCATAAATTGTGATTCAGAATCTAGTAATTCCTTTCACGATTAAGCTGGAGGGATGCTGGTGGCCTCAAGTCTGGTATTATTTACAAGTAGGCTTTCCGGTTGATGATTTTTGTGTTTTACAATGATAATAGAACCCCCATTTAATAAATGGAACGCATTAACTGTCCATTCTTAGGTTGGACCACAAGAAATATTGAAGCAATTACTCAATTATAGAATCTGTTAAACTAAAGAGTAGGTCAAAATGGGGAGGAAAAGATCCGTGTTTTTGGTTGATTTTGGAAAGAGTTGATGCTAGTTCACAAATCCAGAATCAGAATCTTTTGGATATGAAGGGACTTGAAACACTTATTTGGTTGTCAACATTTGAATTTACCAACTGGATTCCAGATTCACTAGTACAATATCATACACCATTCACCATTTGAACTAATAATTAAACAAGCCATTGTATCAGTTTGAACATCCACAATTTACAATGTGCCAAAAACATAGAAAAAGCCAATACACACACCTGTTAACTTCGGTAATACTTGAACTTCTTTTAGCTTCTGTTCGTTCTTGACTACTCTCGTAGGAAAACATCACCCTTCAGATGGAAAGCAAACAAGAGAGAAGAACCAATACATAGGAAAGACTGGAGGGCACTGGACAATACTAAAAATTGAAAAAGAAGCTTAAATCTCGTTTATTATAGCATCTGACTTGTTCAATACCGCTTTACAAACATGCACTTGTTGAATTACGATTCTGCAGCTAAGACATTGATTCATACTGAATTTTTCTCATGGTCCCCCTCGAGCTGGCTTAAATTTCCTTTCTCCTTAATGAGTTGAGTATGATGGTGTTTGCAGTAAAGGCGCCCCTCGTGTGCAATGTAGTTGGATGGACTGATGACACATCCTCCATGGCTGCATTTGAAACAGTTCTTGTGGTATGCAGTTCCATTTACAGACACCTATAGATACACATTTTATTATACAACATCATCATGAATATTACTACTATCATGTGTAATGTTCGACAGAAATTGAAGGCTATTCATCGAATGAAATTCCTTGTTTTAAAATGTTATATAGCTTTTCCTTCAACTCAAAATACTGACATAATACAAAAAATGATGTGAAATGAATTGCCTAACCTGGCTCCCTTTCAAAATGAATAATGCTATTTAGCAGCAGTGGTGTTACAATACCAGTTTTACCTTTAATTGAACTCATCATGTAATGCTTATTAAATGAAAGTTACAATTATATGAATCGCATAATTTTACCTTTAATTGAACTTATCACATAATGTCACATAGATTGGTGCTCTAGCATTATTGATGCTAGATAACATTATTCAAAAGGGAACTAAAAGTGGTTCATGTTGTGCTGCTTGTACTGAAATGACTTGGAACTAGCTATTACCTTTTCAGTTGGATAGACAGTATTGTTACAGCCTGCACATTTCTCTCTCGTTCCAATGAACATGCTTGAAACTTTGTTTACCAGTGGTTTCTGTATCAAAGTAGTAGATTAGAAGATTAATCATGAAAAAGGCATAAGGTAGAACTGAAAAACCAGCAAATCTTTACTGATATGGTCTGTTGTAGTTCCTAAGAGATTAGTAGCATCAGATCTTGTAGAAGATCTAGCAATGAACCGACTACCGAGCAAAGTGATGAAAAAGCATCCAAATTTATTCATAACAAGGATCCAACATTTTCGTTACTCCTTATTCTACCTTGGTATGTCCAAGAGGGTTCATACCTCGGAGTCTAAATGCTTCTCTGGTTTGGCAACTTTAGGTGTTCCTGAAAAGATTGTGAAAAGTGAAAACTTAAATTAAATGTTTTGATCGGAAAACTTCATCTCAATCTACAATTCCCCTATTTTTTTATTTACCTTCAAAGCTTTTGTCGAGACTGCCAGTTCTCTTGAAGAGCTGATCAAAATGCGGCCTGCAATACAGAACACCCTCGAAGGAATTGTAGTTCCCAAGCTGTGTTTGAACCACACATCAGATCAGGAAGCAAACTCAAATTACAAGAAGAGACAACCTCAGATCAGGACACTTTACTAATAACACTTCCATAGTAGAAACAACCCCAGATTAGAACAAATCAAGTTGATATTAAACATTTAATGACTCGACCATTTTAAAGAAGTTAAGATCTTGTTTAATCCTATCCAGTACTGTCAACTGAACACATGTTATCATTAATTTGAGAATAATGAACTAACTCAATGCCAGCCAAAATAAATAAATAAAATATCCCGGTAAATATAACATAGTTTGAATGAGATTAGTAACGAAAACTTAAATTATGAACCTTGAGAGTGCCCTTGCAGTGATGGCATCTAAAACAAGCTTTATGGTAGACTCGATTGTCTGCTGTTAATTTGTCCACAAGATAGACAGTCTTTTCACAAGCCATACATTTTTGTGTTGTTCCTGCGAATGCCATGGCTCTCTCTCTCTTTCTCTCACACACACACTCACACAGACAGAGCAGAGAGCAGTGTAGGAGAGAATAAAAGGAGTTGGTAGCTGCTTTAAAAAATAAAAAATTGTGGACTGGACTAATATATAAAAGTATTTGTACATGAAAAACTTTGGTTCAAATTTTTATTTGGGGCAGGGGGAGATCACAGCCCTGGAGAACCCCGTAACTCCGTTATACGAATAAGATTTTAACTTATTCTTTTACTTTCTTGTATTCAGTCCTGTCTAGTCTACAATCCAGAACATGCATGCGTCTATAGTACTTGCTCAAAAGGACTAATCAGTTGGACATTACTGTTTCCAAATAAAGCAAGAAATACTGTTTTATCAAAGGAGACTTTGAGACAGCATTCTTGCCGGAATTAAGATTTGGTTATCCTTAATATCGGTATAACAAGTGTTCACCGAATTTCTTGTCCACCAAGTACAGATTATCGGCTTCTTTGATAAGGTGAGTACTGAACTAAGCCCCGTTATCTAAAAACTCATTTTTCCCAAAATTCATTTTCAATCTTACATTCTACCAATAAAAGAATTTGAACGTAAATCCAAATCTTTTCCCAATTCTTAAGCATGTATTCTCCAAAAATCATTATTACAAAATTCATTTTTAATAATTACAAAATGTATGGAGCTCAAAAGCAGGCATAGTGTTCTTCAATTCTACTCAATTGGAAGTCTAAACGGGCTAAGAAGCTTTGTACATTTGGATTCATGATTGATTCTTGTAAATTCATTTAAAGTCACATGCCTGATTGAGCCCACACTTTGATCAGGATGTGACTTCCTTTTGACATATTCGTTGCTTTCCTCTTTCAAACAGCAATACAGCCTGCAAAGATGATCATAAATATCTGCTGTCTTGGCATTATGAAGAGTGAGTGAGTTCTAAAGCTTGATTAGGTGAAGGTAGGAGGGACCATATGCTCAACTTTTTATTCTTTAATTTTTGTACGACTTTCAAATGCAAATAAATTCCACTTAAATTCAAGGACGTTTATTGTTCACTTTTATTGTTCACTTTTATTGACCAAAAATTTAGTGATCAATTAAATTGTTTGCTATAAGACACTTTCACTGAACAAACATTCGTTGGTAAAGTTGTTGGTCTGTTAAGTTATACCAATTTTTTTATGCCCTATTGCGACCAAAATTTGGTTGCTGAATCCAAGATTAGCGACACGTTTAATTAGGGCAGAATTTGAACTGCCTTTTCCATGTGTGATTGGGGGATTAAACGACCACAATGGATTGGTCGTTAATAACCTTCAGCAAACAATTTATTTTTGATCTCTAATAACCTTCAACAATCAGTTCATTTTTGTTATAGAAGTTTTTTTTTGCTTTTGATTGTGGTTTTAGCAACCACAATGAATTGGTCGGTGAAAACTTAATAACCAGTTCATTTTCAGTCACTGAAGACCTTAGTGTGATAAACCTTGCCTTTTTTTCATTCGTGATTGGGGATTTCAACAACCATAATTGATTAGCCAATGAAAACTATAACCTTCAACAACCACATTGCAGTAGTTGTCTCGTTGATAATAATCTTTAGCAACAAATTCCATTGGAGGTTTTAGCAACTATAATGCACTGTATATTATATAACAGGGAGATTGTGTAGTTGAAATGAGGTTATATATATATATATATATGAGTGACTAATAAATGGTAGTCCTTATAAAATCCACGAAATATGTGGATAAAAAAATTTATTTAATGGGTTATAAATATTTTATAAATGATAGCTAAACAAGGACAAATTCTTCTCAAATCTCATATGAATTTTTGTCATTATTATTATTAGGGAAAATTTCATAACTAAGAAATTAATTATGGCACATTTCAAAAATAAGAAAATAAGTTTCAAATTTCTAAAATCAGATTTTTATTAAAAATTATTTATAATTTAATTAGTTAATTAATTATTTTATTAATTAAATATATTTAGGTCACAGATCTATACAATTTGGTCACAAATTAACAATATAATTAGTTACTTATTATTTTTTGGTCACAAATCAAAAAATTTATGTCACAAATTTTTTTACGATCACATTCCAAAAATTTTGTAAGTCACAGTTTGTTTATTGGTCACAAATCCAAAAATAATTAGTCACGGATTAATTTTTAGTCACGACTTATCATATTATTGGTCACAACTTATTTTTCGATCACAAATTAAAAATCTATAGGTCACATATTATTTTTCGATCACGAATCAAAAATTTTATAGGTCACAAATTAATTTTTCAGTCACAACTCAATAAATTATAAGTCACAAACACAAATTTTATAGGTCACATATTATTTTTCGATCATGAATCAAAAATTTTATAGGTCACAGATTAATTTTTCGGTCACAACTCAATAAATTATAAGTCACAAACACAAATTTTATAGGTAACAGATTAATTTTTCGGTTACAACTAAATAAATTATAAGTCACAAACACAAATTTTATAGGTCACATTATTTTTCGATCACGAATCAAAAATTTTATAGGTCACAGATTAATTTTTCGATCACAACTCAATAAATTATAAGTCACAAACACAAATTTTATAGGTCACATTATTTTTCGATCACGAATCAAAAATTTTATAGGTCACAGATTAATTTTTCGATCACAACTCAATAAATTATAAGTCACAAACACAAATTTTATAAGTCACATATTATTTTTCAGTCACGAATAAAATTTTTTATAGGTCACTGATAAATTTCTCGGTCACAACTCAATAAATTTTAAGTCACAAACACAAATTTTATAGGTCACAATTTAATCAATTGGGAGTCACGGTCACATATGCAATATCAAGTCACAATTGGGAGTCACGGTCACAATCACAATTATCAGCACAACCAATATCGTTGGCTGCGGTAGCCAGCACCACTTCCTCTATCGCCCTACAACCATGACCACCACCAACATCATCACCAATTCTCTGAACGCCAACAGCACCTCCACCTCGCTGCCGTCGCCACCACGACCTCCAACCACCAACATCTCATCATTACCACTGCCACGACCCCCCATCAGCAAAAAACAGATTTGTAGCCCCAAATCATCGCCACCACCATCGTCGCCACACACCAACACCACAGATCCACAACAGATCCACGACCTACAAATGCAAACCACCACTATGTTAACAGAAAACAATCATACAACCACTGCAAAACAATACAAAACCGTCGCCATTTTTGCAAGTGCAGTAACCACCAAGCCCAAACGCCACTACCATCAACATTACGGCCAACGGCACTACATCGTGTACCAAAAGACCCAACCACTACACCTTACACAACAGTCAACACGGCAACCACCGCTCCCACAGCCCACGGCGCACACACAATACCACCACATCGCTGCACAACCACAACAAATAGCACCACCAACAAAAAATTAAAAAATAAAATACTAGTAATCGCCACCAACAACATTACCAAAGAGCTCAACCCAAGACCACAAACTATTGTCACTGCACCTATACCTACGCCAATCTCGTAGTCAACGTCGCTGCAAGTGAGCGACAAACGCTCAAGTGTGCTGATCTTGCAGTTACGGCGCCGATTCCCTTCACTATCAAGAGAGAAGATGGGATAGGTGGTGGAGCGGCGTTGGTCCTCTCCCCGCAGCAATCATTGGCAACAAAATAGTCAATTAGGCGAGCCGCACTATTCCGACCACCGTTGCTTGTCCGGCGATGACAGGTTCTTGTGATGTGGTGTCGGTTATTTGATTTGATTCCGACGACAGGTGTCGGCTGCTTGAATTGAGGAGAGCAGAGAGGATGAAAGGGGCGGGATGTAGAGAAAGAAAATGAAAATAAATTAGTGTTAATTAAATTTGTATTATTATATTTAATATTCAAAATATCTGATTTTTGAACACTCAAACCTTCACTATGATTTTAGAAAATTGATCTTGAAAAGTAGGCAAGGGTGTAATTTCCAATTATTATTATTATTATTATTATTATTATTATTACTACTACGAGACAAAGGATGTCATGGGTCGATTTTGGGCCCAATTCCACACTTAGACCGACCAAGTCAATTTGGATTAGTTACAATCCAAACGAACCAACCTTTCCATTACCAAACTGATCGAGACCATGTCCCGATATTGGTCATTTTGGTTTCAATTACCAATCCGGATTGGGCCTAATTAATAATCAAAATTTTTTAGGATAAATCTCAATTTCAATATCAATACAACATTTGGGAAAAAATTAAAAAGCAAAAAAGGCAATACAACATAGTGATTCCCAACTTTACCCATCTAAATAAATTGTAGAAGGGGAAAAATTCATATATGCATTATTACAAAATATTATTTCATGTTTTACTACATAATGTTTAAATAACTAAAAATAATTTTTTATATATGAAATATAATAAAAAATACCAACTTCTAATAATAGAATCCCAAATAACAATTTGTAATTTACAATCTTTTGAAAAATGCACATTCACATTTATTGTCTCTTCCAAAAAGAAATGAAATTCAAAAAATTGAGAATGTGTAAAGAATATCTATGACGTCCATGGCTTAGACACACCGTAGTTTATTAGTTCAATCGAAAGCGAGAACTAGCGGAATCTAGATAAAATATTTTTAAATTTGAAATCGAAATCTCGTAATAATGTCACAGAGCTATATATGTTTTTCAACAAGTTATATTTCATTCACATATTTGCCAAATTTTAGCATTTGTTATATATATAAATTGTTATTGAATAAAATAATATCTTTTAAATAAGAATGTGTGGTTTGAATGTTTGCAATTCTTGTAATCAATTTTAAAAATTGACGGACAGAATTTGGTCTTGTAATTTGTCTCCATGTTTGGCCAGTAAACAATTTGTGAAAATAACATGCTTTGTAATCTTTGCACAATATTACTAATGATTACAACTTGCGGGAGATTTGTATGGAGATCAATTCTTAATGGAAGATGTTTAGGGGATTTTGGGAGGAAGATGATTCCTAATGGAGAAGATTTGGAAAGAAGATGAACGGACAAAATTTTAGGAATTTTTAGATTAATCAATGGATTACTATAAGGGCGTGTTTGTTGG